CATGGGCATGCCTGACAGCACTCTGTTCCTGGTTTGTTAATCCTGAGACATTTTTTTTTTTATGCAATAGAACAATTCCAACAGCAAAACGTGCTATTTTCATTGTCTCAAAAGAAGCAATAGTTTGGTCATCCAGACCCTCTCCTGTTAGGTATTAAGTAAAAAGAGGAAGGAACAGAGCTTGAGTTTTCCTTATATTAATACCACATAGACAGACATAAGACTTGTTAGACCTTTATAAGGAAATACCATCCCACCAAAAACAGACACTGCCATATTTCTGCAACCAGGACACCAAGTAATCAGCAATAGATTCAGAACACTTGACTCAAACGAGTTACCAAACTTCCGAGGAAAGATTTTCAGTGTTCCTCTCTGAAACTAGTGGTCAGCATCTCACTCTACACTGCTGATGTTCCTGAGATGACCAGTTCCCCAATCACTGCTTAGGCAAATCTACACTATGTGTTATGGGATCCCCTTTACATATTAAACCTGTATGCCTCAATACCCAGATTCCTCGAGTCCCTTTCCGACCCAAAATTTCATAGGCACTCGCTTCAGATGGGAGCTGTGACCCTTAAGTGATCTCCTGCTTTGAGAAGAGAACCTGCTCAACATAACACAACTACATATCCATCATTTAGGTTTTCTTTATTTATATTTTTTTTAGTTCAAGAATTACACACTAGCCAACATTATTATATATTTACATGCTGAAACTGGCTGCAATAATTTTAAATTCAAGAAAATATCTCTTATGTGCTACTCATTTACAATCATCATTTTACTACCTCGTGTATCCCAGAGGTTAGCAGTCCTTTTGAGAAAGACATGAAGATCTGATGCGATGATATCCACTAGTATTTTGCATTTTCTAGCCATTGGAAAATGTGCATTATGTGCATATAAGAAAGGCTACAAGGTCATTAGTAAGGCTGATGATTACTACATTATGAAGTAAATAGTACTAAGTAAAAAAGATAAATCAGAACTGTGCAAAGACAGTACTAACAGAACCATTTAAACACCCATGCAAATAAAAACGTGATAGAAGTCAAATCATAGTCAGCTTGTAAGAATTAATCATGTTTCAGATGTTCTTTTTGTCTTCAACTGAAAGTAACAGGACAGACCATGAACAATACAGCCTGGTGAATATTTGTCAAATGACTGTTAACAGTGAAAACATACAAAACATTATCAAATTGGAATAGATGACCTTATGTCTGAAAAAACATTAAAAAAATACAACCCTTAGTATGAAAGTATAGGTGAGACTTTTCATCTTTTAATTTTCTTTTTCTTTTTTTTTTTTTTTTGTCAAAGCACTTACAAAGAAAATAGTTTTATACTTACGAAATGTCCGCGTTGCATATTCTTGTAGAGGTGATCTATTTCAATTTAATATTAATGGATATTTAAATTATTACTATTTTTACAAAGTAGAATAGGGCAGTATTTTTGATCAACAATCCACTTGCTTCTTAAAAATTTAGACAAAATTCCTAGTGCATTTTATTAAGCTTTACCTTTGGTGTTAAGCAGTGACTTACGAGATTTTCTTTAAACAATTTCTGGAGTGAAGATTCTTTGGCTTTGGGGGACTATGCTATCTAATGACAGTCAAATATATATTTTTTTTTCTAAAGAAAAACTGTAAATCTACTATTAGATACCATAAGGGATACAAATTGCAGAAAGAGATGCAGTATGCAGACTTTCTGTAATGAGATCACCAGCAGCTGAATTCTCACCTACCCTGGATTCCTTCACATCGCCACTCGCAGGAGCAACATAAAGGTACCTTACTGTATGTGAAAATCAGGCCCTATTTGTTTATGCTGAGTACTGAGTGCCAAACTACAATCTTCCACTGCTTGAATGGTTTAACCATACAAAAGAACCGATTGTGCTAGCAGTAATACAGCTGAAATGCTTATTTTGCACCTCAGTACTTTCTGTATTTTTTTTTTAATATCTGGTATCCAAATCTGTTTATGCAAAAGGGTGTTTAAATTACTCTGCTAGAGCACTGCAATTATTGTACTTAGTAAAAAAAAGTCACTAAACAATTACTGTATCTATTGACTGCTCATTTACAGCTTATTTAATTATTTACATAATTTTAGGACACATTAACCTAAACCATAGAATTAGCTTTTTGCCTTACCATAAAGTACAAATTAGAAGTTAAAAATGTTTAAGAAATCTGATAATATTTACACACGCTCAGCTTAAGTTATGATTGCTCACATTGTATGTTCTATGTACACATAGCAAAATGTTATGATCACTACCGATATAGTATTGTACCCTGGCCATCCCACTCTAGATTATTTTCTAGAAATAGTTAATAATTTTGCCTTTTTGCCTTGGTTCCCTTAGAACTGTTGTTTTTGAAAACTTACTAGTGGACAATGCTGTTATAAAAAGAGAGAGAAGAAATAGGCAAGCAATGTGAGGACTAGTCTAATTTCAGATGCTAGGAGGTACAGTACTACCATCATGTCAAATGGTGCAATGTTCCATACGAATTATATGCATTGATCTGCTGATATAGAAATGCCCAGTTACCCTGTATAGTAAGTTGTTTTTTTAAATACATTAATCTTTTTTTCTCAAAAATATAATCATACACTGGTTGATGGTAGAAACAAAAGTATTATTAGCTTATTCCTTTAACACACCAACATATGAATGTCTGTGCATATGTACACAGCATGTGTATATATACACACATATGTCCATACAGACACGTGTCCATATGCACATATAGTTGGATAATGTTGAACATTTGTTCACTTATGTTCTGTGTTAATTATAGAATTGTAACACAGACTAATAATTATAATGAAAAATAATCAAACCTTAATTTTAATGCATATTTTGTCTGAAATAAGGATTTGCTCCGCAGGTGCAAGACCACCACTCACTTTCTCTATGCATTGTGCTTTTTTACCTTACAGATTTTATATCCTTTGTATTAGAATGTAAAAACTCTGTGAAGAACTCTGTGACATACTGTTATCTGCTTTCCTCCCCAGGAGCAAGAAAAGAAATGTTCACAATGGCATTGCTTGAGTCTTTCTTCCCAGTCATTAAATTGCAATAGGATAGAAACATAACATTCCTTATGCAAACATGGAAATATGTTGCATGGATTTTCAGTTCTGAAAATGTGTATCATACTTACTAGCAGTCATATACAGTAGATATTTACAGATAGATCTCAAAGATTTCATTAAAACTGTGCCATGTTATAGTCATAATTTGCCAATGCATTTCAATAAGATGAAAAACACCTTAATTGCTGGCTATCATGTCTAGAACAATAAAATGGTAACTATAATTGCATTACAAGATTCATCCAAAATTAAATTTTATATTTTGCTTATTGAAACAATCAATAATCAACAGAATTAGTAGGATCTAGAATATTTTCTGTCAGTTCTAAAGTAAAAGCAAATTTATTCTAGTTTACCTGGAGGGTAGCACACACATTAGTTAGTACCCATGCCTCATGTATATTGGCATAATTTCTCACTTTCACTCAAGTATCTCAGAAAGAGTAAGTGCTCACCATGGGCTCTTGAGTTCTACCCTTCCCTTGACAGTGCCTTGCCAGTCTTTCTTACCCGCATCTTTTTGTATCACAGTGTTTAGCCTTAAGTACAAAATGATAACCATTTAATTTCTGGAAGAAACCTTCCCTTTCACTTATTATATCTACCAGAAGGACATTGTAAAAGCAAAAGATCTCCTTCCTCCCAGGTAATACATCTTTTCTAGTGACACCTGAGCAAAAACCAAACATTTTCTTTCACACTCTGAACAGTGACATCAGAGAGTATTATGGCTTATACTATAACTTCAGATAAACTAATGTGCAGTTCAAAGTTTCAGCCTCTGTGGTTTTCATAATTGCTTCATGCAGTAAATGCTGACAAACACCATATTCTTTGTTAAGTTTCATATTTGAGGCGTATCGACCACAAAGCTGTGAGCTCCCTGTGTTCACACTATGATTCTGTGAAACAAACAAACGTAAGAGCAAAACAAACCCAACCCTATACAAAGAATGGATAGCAATTTGCAAAATGAAAGAAAAACTTTTACAGTAGAATACTATAAGACGGCTTTTATTTATGATAACGGGTATCATTGTTAATGAACAGACTTTGAAGAGAAATTCTGCATTTAGATGTGGCACTTCTGAAGTTTTCTGCGAATTGGGAAAAATTGCAGCACGATTCATACTTGAAATTCCATACTCATCTGCAAAGCTTATTGCACTGTGCATGAAATGCAGCCTCAAAACAGTAATCTCTCATTTGAAAAATGAATACATGTGTTATGCTGAAAACAAAGTAAAAAAGCCTCCTATTCTACGTTTCCCACAACTGTTTTCCTCCTATCTGTTAAAGGGGATAGGAAAGCACAGTAACTTTTTGGAAAATTACTCTTTTAAAGCAAGAACAAAATTTTCAAATAAAATATTTTATCAAAAATATTCTTATATGCTATTTTAAAGTACTGCCAAAGTTATATGGGGAAAAAAGTATCTACATATGAAAACATTTTTCCTATGATATCTGGAAGGTACTGAAATTTGAGTTCATTTCAGAAATTTGTACACGTGAGAGGTAGCACAGATACAGTAGCATGTGGCTTTTGCTTCATGAAATATTTTCTTTTAAACAAGACTGGGAATTTAATTTTATAGAAGCCATCAGAAATTTATACTTTTTATGCAGTTCCTGAAAAGTTTTAGTTTTTTATTACAGAAAACTTTTCCACAGTGGTCTAAATGGGAAAATCTACTTTGCCTAAAATCTACCTTGCCTAAAAAAATTAAAGCTATATGGAATGAAAAAATAAGTAAATAAATAATTAAAAAAAAAAAAAAATTGAACAATTTTCCAAAAGCAAAATTGAATTTTTTGTACTTTTTCCAATGGAAAACACCTTAGAAGAGACTTCCAAGAGTGTGGCGAGGCACTGGAATGAGCTGCCCAGAGAAGCTGTGGATGCTCTATCCTTGGACACGTTCAGGACCAGGTTAGATGAGTCCCCAGGCAATCTGATTTCATGGGTCACAACCCTGCCCCAAAGCAGGCAGTTAGAACTAGATGGTCTTTTCCAACCCAAACCATTCTATGATGCTATAGTGTAAGCTACCAATTTATTCCCTTTAAAATAGTCCACTAAGCAAAACAAAACAAAAATTGAAATGGTATTGCCTAATCCAGACTGAGAAAAAACTCGTCAGCATTGTTGTACTGAAATACAAATGCTCAGTTCTTTGCTTTAAAAAGAGGAATGATACCTTCAATCAATCTGGATGTTTGGCGTTAAGCATAATGACAGTGGTAAGCATAACACTAGAAAGATAACAAATTGTAAAAAAAATCACACAAATCTACATGAATATTTCAGACTAAGGTATGTGCTATGGCTGACAACATTCATTTGCACAGTATGCGTTTATATATATATGTATATATACTTTTACAAATATGTAGCCTTCACTTTCCCTGGTGCTTTATTTTTAATTGTTCTCTACCTTTCAGTAGAACGGCAGAGCACCATTGGTTTCCTTCAACCACCAAGAGAACTACTAATTGGCCAACCAACTTTTGGCACATTGGACAAACAATTCCCCTTCCCCCACACAAAAAAACAGCACGTCTACCCACTCAGGACATGATTGTTTAACTTGTCTTATACCATTGCTACATTCCTCTACTCATCACAGCTACAGTCATAGGGACTGTGAGCATATGCTATCTCTTAAAAACCCAAACAAAACTAGTGCTTTTTGCTTCAGTATCTGTGCAAACACCCAACCCAAATATTATCAGTCAAAGGTTTAGCTCTTTCAATAAATAACAGGAAATACCTGAATGCGGTTGGGAAACCTCTGACCATCATCATCTTGGAAAGATGATAGGCACTATTTGTTTTCAAGTTTACACCTTTAAAAGGTAAAGTGTGTGTTTCATAAGCATGATAATACCTTAGTACACTAATATGTGTACATGCATGTCTTGGATACGCAGTTTCAGGGAATTAGTGGTTTATACTGCTGTTGAAACAAAAATTCTTTTCTCAAATGCCTCTCTAATTTGTGTCACTACACTCACATGAGCATTAAAAAAAAAAGAAGCTGTGAGAGACAGCGAGACAGAGATGATTGTCAGAATCTAATTTGCCTTCACATTTGAAATACACTTATATTTTCATAAAGGGGATATGTCCATACTGCAAATTTACATATTTATGATTTAGCAGAAACAACCAAAATGTTACAGAAACAAACCATAGAGTGGGCCAGCAACTAAGGTGTTTTAAAATAACTTTTTGTCCTGAATAGAATTTTTCTAAGTCCCACTTTTGGCTGTACAACTGATTTGAAGACAAATCCAGTTCTTGCTTCCTGTGTGGCTTTGTTTCTTAGTTCACATAGTAAAGCCAATAGACAATATTGAAGAAGGAAAAAACAACAGGGAAGAATATGCGCGACCATCTATCTATGGCATTTACATCAGTCAAGTCAGGGATAGTAATTTTCAGTTGAGATGCACGTCTCCGTAGCCTACTTTTCTTCTGTGCCACATGCCTCTCCAGGGCATTGCGACCAAAGCTGTGTCTGGGTAAGCCAGCTTTCCGGTATTGGATGCTTGAAGTGTCATAGGCCAGCATCGTGCTCCTAGGGTCCCCAAGCCCCATCACAGCCTCAGAGGCAGCCATCTCATTTTTAATTTCAAGAGTGCTCAACAAAATGTTTTCATGCGGGTCCATCTGTAAGAAACAAGAAGGCAGATTTAACAAAGAAAGGAAGCCCAGTCAGTTGCAAACTGAAGCCATGCTGATAAAGGCTAGATCCAAAACTACCGATTCTTTGGATGCCAGCCTATCTGAAAGGCTTTAAGCAAAGCTGTGACTAATCATTGTTGTTTATCTATAAACTCAAGGAGCAGTAAGGCTGAAAATGCATAACAGAATAAATGGTGCCTCCCTAGATAGCACGTTTAGTGAATAGAAACAATAGTTGGAAATGGTGTATATTATCAGCTTCTGAATGTGGAATTCTGCTATTGGTTATGATATCTGGAGCTATTATTGTGCTTTTCGGGGATTCTGGAAGGAAATCAAATGGAAAAGGCTCTGCTTTTTACTTTGGTTTGTTCAGTTTCTCTCTAAATGAAAGCTTCTGACAAAAGCTTTGTGCATTCACAAAGTCCCTCTGCCTCAATATAAAGAACTCCTGAGCAATTCATGGGAGAATAGCCAGCCCCCATATTCCAAACAGGACTGTTGGTTGCTTGGGAAAGATGCTGACATAGTATAATCATACCTATGCGGAATCCCTATTCCCCAGTGCTAATGTGCTACAGAAGTGCAGTGTGCATGCTCTGGAGACCAAAACATTGGAAGCCTACAATTTCGAGCAAGGAAAAATATAGACATATAATGTTCAGACTGTAATCACATCAAATGTACTTCAAACAGCTGTTTCAATGGGTAACTTTGATTACTATATATATTTTTAAGGCAGTTCAGAGAGAAGAAAATAATGCAGACTTGTAAATAAAACTTAGAAAGTTAAGAGGACTTCAAAGATGAACTAAATTCTATTCCTTCCTAAGCAGTCTAGAATTAGATCTAAAGTATGATTGGAGAACTTCAAATTAATCCATTTAGTTATCTTGGAAATTCTAATTCACCTCAGCTTCTCTTCTATGTATGTATTTTAAATTGTGTGAGAATAGAATCATAGAATCATAGAGCATAACAGAATGTTTTGAAAAGCAATAAAGGGCAATTAGCATCTAAATAACTACAAAGACTTGAATTATGTCAGTGCAGATACATTCAGCATCTAATATGAAATGGAACTGTCCCTGAGCTCCTTTAAGAATAAAGGATCTACATTAACCATTTATTGTGTATTCAATATATACGATTATTACTAAAAGTGCATAAATGGTGACTTTTGTGGATTTCTATCCAATAACATGGCATTAATCTCTTCTGTAATATTTCACATGGCATGATGAGTTGAAAACATTAACTTTTTAAGAGGATCTATTGCACACCATTACGGATTGGGAATACAGGAACTCATAAAAGCACATTGGACCTACTGAAACACTGCCATTTGAGTGATTACATCTGCTCAAGTGATGCATTCTGAATTGCCATCATTAAGATGCCAGATTTCCCCCCCACACACACTTTTTTCTCAATATGCAAGTTTGCACACCTCTAAATTTCTTTCAATTTTAATTTTAGATCAAATGTAGTGATTCACTGTGAGACAGCCAACATCACCTATTTTTGTTTGCTTCCAATTAAAACCATATAAAATCTTTGAAATCTCAAGCTTGCTGGGGAAATAAACTTTTTTTGAGAAACTCTATGAAAATTGAAAAGTTAGGCTGAAACTCAAGACAAACTCCTTTAAGGACTTTGCAGCACAATTTTAAACATGGTGAGGAAAAACTGCATTCTAGCCAGGAAAGACATCAAATCAATTTTCATCTGCATTAAGTTAAAAAAATGTGTTATGTTACTATAGTACAAATAAAATGAAGCAAATGGAAAAGTCATCAAATAGATATCTAAAACTTCTCAAGAGAGCTTGCGGTTGTTATTTATTTATTTTTGTACTGAGTGCAGTTACTTAGAAAATTCTGAAGAGATTTCTGGGGTAAATCAAAATTGGCTGTCATTTTTGTCATAAGATCTCAAAAAAATAAGACTTCCAGTATCCCAAACTTAAGAATGTTCAAAAGAAAGCAGTTAAATTATCTTACAAGAGGAGTGCAAAGCCATTTAGGAACTACATTGTCCATATGGTTTCACATTTTCATAATAAGAGAAGAGAAATTTTAGTCCCAATAACACAAGGGGAAATTTGACATAATATCTAGTGCAGTGGTTTCAACTGAAAGCCTAGAGATTGGGTTATATACATCTCAGTGTTGTGCACTGTAAGATAATGTGTTTGGAAAAACTTTGGCATCAGCGTATTTGCTCACATCTTAAATGTTCTTGGGCTGAATCTATTCTAAACATTTTATTCTTTTGATCCGTAATATCAGAAATTCGAGTGCTCTTTACACACTCATACTGTTTCTGTGTAACACAAGAAAAGTTTAGTCTGACAGAGTTTGATATAGACATGTTTCAGTGTACCGGTTGTATCATTCCTTCAGTTGACTTTTTGGTTTGATTCATTTGACATTGGATTTTACATTAAAATCACTGAAGTAAGAAATGTACTGAATATATGTTCCTAACAGAGAAAATTGCTGCAGCTATCTAGTAATTTTGGCAGCAGTTAGTACTACTAGTGATGCCGGGCAGAAAGAACATTCAGCAATATTCTAAGACTATCTTCTAGGGCAAAGTGTCTTCTGCACATATCACATTGATGTAAGAGTTGGAACAAAGCATTCCTCAATATTTCAAGATTTTTTCATAAGAAATAATTCAAAATGCAGCAAAAATTAGGGATGGGCGAACCATCAAGTGTTAGAACAGCCGCGTAAACACCGCAAACTTCAGGTGCTTCTCTAGCCCTAATCTGACCTTTCTGAACCTAAAACAGTAGAATTGCATTTTTCATGGTATTTTGAATTCCCAATCAGAAGAACTCCCATTTCCAATCCAGAAGTACAAGTGAGTGTGAAAATAAAAGAAACAATACCAATAACAAGAAAAATTAACCTAAATTCTCAACCTCTGACAACAGGTTCCTTGTCAGATTAGAGAGCTGGGAGTGTTGCTTGCACCAAGCAGGTTCGCCCAACTCTAAATAAAACATGCTTTTGTGACTAACAGAAGCTTGAGATAGAATGGTAATGGCTTACATTTATAGTACACAGCACCGCCCATTCTAAAGGATCCCAAAGCGCTTTACAAGCATTAGAAAGAAGAACCACTTCACTTCCCAGTGAAGCGCAATCACCTCTGAGGTAAAAGGTTGGGTCTGACAGTGCAGAATCATACACTACATTTTAGTTGAGGAAATGGAGAATGCCATAGCCAATTGAAACTATGGGGTGGGTGAGTGGTGGTGGGGAATGTTAGGTAAACAGAACAGTTACAAAAATTGATATTTGGCCACATGCTTGGTGTTGAGATGACCACTCTATAAAAAAAAGTGCCATGGGATCTTTAATGACCATTAAGTGGTAAAGACCTGAATCTTAAGTCTCTGAGGATAAAAACATTAGAAAACAATGAAAGATACCTTTGTTGAAAACATTTCTGGACAATGATATGTGCCAATTATTCTTCTGTCCTGTAAGTTAATAAAATCAAGACCAGTTTCCTTAGAGATAAGGCAGCTATTATCTTTCATTTAAAATTAAAGCACTCTAGGGTATTAATAGGACAACTAATTAAAAGATACAGGGACCTCTAAGCCAACAATTATTATAAGTACATTCTGGCTTCAGAGGTGCTATTACTGCCTTGCCCTGCTACTCAAGGTAACATAACTTTGCGATGTAAATGTACTTTTTCCAACTGGTCAGTGTGACCAAGGAAGATATGATGATATGAAAATAATTGTTAAAATTATTCTGGGGGAAAAGTAAGTGTAAAAAGTGATTTCAAAAGGAGGTGGAAGAAGGTTAGAAAGATCTCCTGGTGCTGAAAGATTGTTCAACCATAGAATTGGACTCTTTATGGTGAACAGGAGAGTTCAAACTTAAAGGACAAATTCCCAAGGGCAAGGAAGAAAGGGAAGATGCAAAGATGAAGAAAAAGCAGAAGCAAGGGCTATGGAGATAAAAAGAAAAAAAGGTGAACACAGAAGTGGAGAAGAAATGACCAAAGCTCAGCAACCATGCAAGAGGATGTGTTTTTGTTTAAAAAATAAAAGTAAAAATAATCTTAAAGTTGGATGGAAAAATATATGATATAAATGATATTCATTTATAGGTTCAGGTCAACCAGTGGAAAAGTTGATTCCAGAACCTTGGAAGTGGCCATGAACATTTTTATGGCCTCATAGGGAATACAGAGGAAAATGTAGAAATGTTACCATTATGTATTATTTTTGCTATCTAGAAACTCCAAAATGATGGCTATCTTGAGGAATTCCTCTTATGCTAATATATCAGCAACTATAAAATACAAGGAAATTGCAACTCGCAATTATACATGCAGATAAACAGATGTACATTAGGAATCCTCCAAGTATGATCACATTTCTGAGACCATTAGCATATAGTAAACCAGCACCTGGATGATAAAATTGTGTTGATATGCCAAACAGTTTACCAGTAGGAGATAAATGTGTATTGATAAATAGAGAATATATAGCATTTACTCATTTGCTTTCTCATATTCTGATAATCAGACAGAATTTCCAAATTGAAAAACCTTCAGAATCAAAGCTATTGTAAATTCTATAGAAATATCCTTTTGCTAGGTAAAGCTGCCATTAATCAGAAGAAAATTATAAGTTGAATTAGTGAAGGAGAACAAAAGTAGCTAATCCATTATGAAACTTAACACTGAAGGTTAAGGTTCAGTATTTATAGATCCTGTGAACAAATATTCTTGAGAAATGAAAACACAAATAAGTACCCCTTTAGCACTGAAAGCCTAACAGACAAGAAAATATACAGATCTAGATATATAATTTAATTTGGCAGAGATAAAAATCTTAGTATTACACATAGGATAGCTTTCCACCTCTTGGAATCAGAGCTTTTCTTTGAAAACCACTAGCATCCCATTCCTGACTAGTCTCAATAGCTCTGACAATATTTGGTGCAAGTAC